CAACCTGATCAATGCTCTTTATGGATACACCTTCTCGCTGTGTCTCTATAATGGAGACATCTCCGAGATGTTGCTGGAGTTCTGTCAGGTGGTGCTTGCCGTCTCAGATGGTTTGGGTGCCAGACGGGTCTTCAACTCTGTCTCGGAGGCTCTCGACGCCGGAATAAGAGCTGTATCTGCAGGAGGATACTTTGATCGCGAGGACCCTTTAGCTCCACTTCGAGCTGTGGAAGCGGTGGCTCATATTCTGACTGGAGGGAGCAGAGAGGGTGCTGTTGAATATTCACTGTCCGCTTTGTCCCAGCTGTGCACAGCTTTGAGCAAGGCAACGGCTTCTGTTCCAAAAGAAGAAGAGCAGGTGAGGTGGATGTATTTTCAAGCTGGAAAGAAGTGTGAGTTTTTTCAGTCTTGGGTGAAGGAGAATCCCAAAGTTTTGAGGAGTCTGGCAGGATGTGTGTGGTCGGACTTTGAGAGAAGGGAGATGGAGAGGATGACATTAGAGGGAGAGAAGAAATGTTTGGAAAAGGGATGGGAAAAAAGTAGTGGTAAAGGTGGATTGATAGAAGAGATTGAATTGTATATATTTGTAAATAAAAAGTAATAATTTAAAATAAAATCATTTGTATTACGGGCATTTGTGTCAGTTTTAGTTTTTTAATTTAAGAATGAAATACAAGTAGTTTAGTGGATAATTAACAGGTCATTTTTGTGTTACTTTTACTATCGGTGGTTGTTTAGCCTTTAAATGTCTTTAATGCTACAGTCCACACTTGTAGATTGCATTGAACACTGATGATAATGAAAATGATTTTTAATAATATAATAGAATATATTTTTCATATTTTAAAAACATTTGAATGAATGGAAAGCAATGTTATGATTCAAATAAAAACAATATATGCAGTATATTTTGTAGTGTCCAGTTCTCTGCACTGATGATGACATATCCACTGGTTGCTCACACAACAATCTGTTGGTCGTTCAGAACATATCAGTCTGCATTAATAAATGTACGGGAGTATTCTGTAGGGCACTCGTCTGCAGTATGTATCCCAGGCCAGTCCGTATTTGGCTCTGCAGTGTTTCTCATCTCTGGCCTCTCGGTGGATGAGCAGAATGGTGAAATATATGACATAGAAGTAAGGCAGAATATGTGACATTCCTAAGAAAAAAAAGTTGGAATAAACAAATTATTCTGCAATTATGATTTGTCTTAATTTTTTCATATTCATGGCAAGATCCAGATAGTTAAAAATACAATGGCAAACAATTAACTCTTACAGTATTTTACTCTTACAGTAAAATTTAAATCTTAAAAAGCATTATTTTTACTTAAATCTTCGATGACACTTAAACATATCTAAATACTTTACCAAATTAGAACAATTTGATTTTATATGATTTTTATTATTATTTCTTTGTGAATTTGCTTATTCACGTGACAATTGGCAATTAAGAAGCTAGATGGTATGCCACTAAATGACCTTCTAGTTTCTATATGCCATTACATGCCACTAAAATGGCAGTTCCAAACAAAAGTTGCAAAAAGAAAGACTAGTCTTTATATAGTCTTTACACAGCTTGGGCAGTGAGGAGCTGTGCTCCCTGTTTTCAGCATTTGGGTATGTGACCAGCGCAAATATTATGATGAACAACAACCGGTGCATGGGTTATGAATTTGTTTCATATTCCTGGATTAATTATGCCATTATAGCTATTTCATTAATGAATGGCTATATTGTCAACAACTGACTACTGAAGGCTGCTTTCTCCCATAGTGCAGAGAAAAAAAGGAAATAGAACTCCAGCGAAGCACAAAAAATAGCCTTATCCCTGGTGGAAAGAAAACAAAAATCTTAACCCTCTTATATCCCTATACTGAATTAAATCAATCCACATTTCTGATATGGAATACAACCAGGAATTAAGCCACACAATGTCGGTCCGTCTGGCAAGAGGAGAACTGGCCCCCCAGCTAAGCCTGGTTTCTCCCAAGGTTTTTTTTTTTTTCAATTTTTGTCACCGTTGGAGTTTGGGTTCCTTGCCACTGTCGCCTTTTGGCTTGCTTAGTTGGGTACACTTAATATTTGGCAATATTACTTGACTGCACGGACAATATTGGATGAGAACTGAACTGAGCTGAGCTGATGATATCACTGTTTTCTCCAGAGCTGCTTTATAGATTAAGCTGATTCCATAATTGATGGACTTTACACAGTTATTGAACTGAACTCAATCAACAATGAACTGATTTCAACTGAATGCCCCAACCATTAACAATTTATTTGGCACATGTTTTTACGCCGGATGCCCTTCCTGCATTTTATACAACTAACTAAGACGTTATAAGTTGGCATTGATATTGTCAATGTCATGTGTTTTTCCTTACAATCAGTTAAATCAATTCACTTACCACAAGGCAGGGACCACGCCAGAGCCATGAGAAGGTCCCCCAGGTAATTTGGATGCCTGACAAACCCCCACCACCCTGATACCAACAGACGCTTTCCAGTTGCTGTGGCAATAGTTTCCAGGTCTACAAGTCAAAAAGAAAGATGAGAAAATTCACCATTTATGTTAATCTGGAGGCCATAATTTAGTCTCCAGTAAGAAATTCTCCCTTTTCTTAATTTTAGATACTGATAATGTATAAAGTGTTCAAAAACAATGTTCACTGAATACAAACTCAAAATAGGTACCATATCAAAAGCAATGTGATTACTAACGTGCTACACTTTTATGTGTGGGGTCTCTTCTGAACTGATTTTTCTGAGAGTTGGACTTCCGGAAAATGTAATAACCAATTCCTGCAAAAGATTAAAAAGAGGAGTGTTAGAAAACGTTAAACATTCAGACTGCTGCAAAACAGGTTGTAGAGTACCATTTAGAAGAATAATCCCCGCTGCTCCAAGAGTACTAAGTGACTGTGGGTGCACAACCAGAAACATGGCCTGAAGACCATACGTGAAGGGAACCCAGGCCAGGTCGCCAAACGCCAACATGAACCCAAATCCATCATGCACAATGTCCATAGTAGTAAGCACAGCCTCCTGCAGACACATAGAAAAGTATAATGTTGTGTGTATTTGGGACTCAGTGTATATAAATATACAGTGGGTACGGAAAGTATTCAGACCCCCTTAAATTTTTCACTCTTTGTTATATTGCATCCATTTACTAAAAACATTTAAGTTAATTTTTTTTCTTCAATGTACACACAGCACCCCATATTGACAGAAAAACACAGAATTTTTCAGACTAGACTAGATTTCTCATACTTCATTCCATAGAGCATCTGTCACATAGAGGAGCTGGAAGCCGTTGACAAGCTGCATGGCAAGAGATGGAGAGCCCCTCAATTCCACTTCTTTCATTAACATCCCCAGGTTTATTACCACCTAAAAAACAACAACATAAAAGAGAGAAAGTTGGTAAAAATACTTTGGTGTTTCAAATAAATGCTGTTCTTTGAATCAGCAAATTAGAATGATTTCTGAAGGATCATGTGACACTGAAGACTGACTGCTGAAAAATCAGCTTTCTTTCACAGGAACAAATTACATTTTAAAATATATTCAAGTAGAAAACTGTTATTTTCAATTGTAATAATATTTAACAATATTACTGTTTACACTGTATTTTTTGATCAAATAAATTCAGCCTCTGAGCATGAGGCACTTCTTTCAAAAACTTGAAAAATATTACCAATACAAAAATTTGAACAATAGCAGATATATTTATATACATATATTTACATGTGGATGTAAACGTATTGTGAGACTCTTACCCAGCCTATTAATCCAGGTCTTAGTTCGCAGAAATATTTCAAGTCAAAGTCTCCAATGCGAGGGTTGAGCTCTCGACCCATGAAGAAGTCATACAGAGGATTTCCTACAAATGACAATGTAACTGCATTGACAAATAATTCAAAGAGACAGAAAGTAGAAGCATCTGGAATATCTGACAGGTCAAAAAGGTAGTGTGTCTGTATGAATAATGAAATGTTACTCATAGACAAAAGATAATATCAGAAAATCACACTAATTTGTAAATACCAGGACTGATAATCTCACCAGTGTTTCCTCCAAGTGATAAAGCATGTTGAGGTGCCCAGAAAGAGCGGATATACAGGTACATAGACAGCAGGTAGGACACACCAATGGCACATACAGCCAGAGGCAAAATCACCTCAAACAGATACCCGAGTGGCATTCCCAGCCAAAGACATACTAGCAACAGGACAGCAGTAATGCTCAGGGCATGGAAACCTAAGAAATAAAGATGTAAAATTCTGGTCACAATCATATCTACAAATATAAACATATATAGTCCACTACCTTTCAAAAGGTTTAGAAAGGTTTAGTGTCAGTAAGGTTTTTTTTTCTTTGCCATCACAGGAATAAATTACATTTTAAAATGTATTAAAATAGAAAACAGTTATTTTAAATAGTAACAAGATTTCACAATATTAATGTTTTTACTGTATTTTAAACAAAATGCAGTCTTAAGTGAAAGTAAAGGGACTTTCTTCAAAAACGATAAAACATTTTTTAAACTAAATAATAAAAAAAAAGTCATTAAGCAATAAAGCTTATTTTTCTTTAGAGCTGTATTATATATATATATATATTTTTTTTTTTTTTTTTTTAAGGAGAAACTAGAGTTTACTGACAAATGGAATTTGAACTCTACTTTGTATATAATAGGTGGTTTGTAAAACCAAGGACAAGAGGTAAAAAGTTACCATGTCAACAAAGACTATCCTGTTTAATTTGTGTCAAAGACATTAAAAATGTATTATTAGCATTATTTGTATAACATTACAAACAGGTAGACAGCATGTATTACCATTAATGGCATATTTCAGTCTGGATCCATGGATCCATCTCAATCCTTCAGAAACCTGTTAACAAATGAATAGTTTAAATTCTGACGTACTCTCTTAAGAAAATAACCTAATAACCTAATCAAAGAAACAAATGATACACTATCTCACCTTCCCTATGGGCAGTAGATAGAGAAAACTCTGCAGGGTGATCCAACCTACAACCAGAACCGTGGCCAAAGGGTCCCATAACTGTGCTGGGGGGGGTAAAGGAGGAGGCCACTGCAGGACACTGGCTGCTGGAGACCGACACACACTCAGCAGGTACAGAACCGTCAGAGGCAGGAACACAGGGATGCAGGTGGCACCTGGACAGGTGAGGTGGACAAATTAACTCATATGACACAGAAGCCACAAATAGCCACACAGTGAATAAATCACTACACATACACAAACATAAGCATATATACAAAAAATAAATAAAATGGTAGCTCACCAAGAGCACCTCCAAATTCCTTTTCAGCTGAACGTGTTGCTTTGTGCTTGTTAGGCTTCATTTTGCCTGTTTGGGACAAAGATGAGCACTTAGCATGGCTGACAAAACATTTATAGTATACAAGAATAGTGTATCATTTAAATTACAGTGCGTTAAATACAGCTGTGTAGTATACGCGTTTGTAACGTCATGATTATTTTCAGACTTAAACTAATTAACCATTAAACCAAATAACCCTTTAGTAACCTATTAATGTATACATACAGGGTATTTTTCTCTTACCTGTTTCCCACAAACCTGAGCATGAGGCACTTCTTTCAAAAACTTGAAAAATATTACCAATACAAAAATTTGAACAATAGCAGATATATTTATATACATATATTTACATGTGGATGTAAACGTATTGTGAGACTCTTACCCAGCCTATTAATCCAGGTCTTAGTTCGCAGAAATATTTCAAGTCAAAGTCTCCAATGCGAGGGTTGAGCTCTCGACCCATGAAGAAGTCATACAGAGGATTTCCTACAAATGACAATGTAACTGCATTGACAAATAATTCAAAGAGACAGAAAGTAGAAGCATCTGGAATATCTGACAGGTCAAAAAGGTAGTGTGTCTGTATGAATAATGAAATGTTACTCATAGACAAAAGATAATATCAGAAAATCACACTAATTTGTAAATACCAGGACTGATAATCTCACCAGTGTTTCCTCCAAGTGATAAAGCATGTTGAGGTGCCCAGAAAGAGCGGATATACAGGTACATAGACAGCAGGTAGGACACACCAATGGCACATACAGCCAGAGGCAAAATCACCTCAAACAGATACCCGAGTGGCATTCCCAGCCAAAGACATACTAGCAACAGGACAGCAGTAATGCTCAGGGCATGGAAACCTAAGAAATAAAGATGTAAAATTCTGGTCACAATCATATCTACAAATATAAACATATATAGTCCACTACCTTTCAAAAGGTTTAGAAAGGTTTAGTGTCAGTAAGGTTTTTTTTTCTTTGCCATCACAGGAATAAATTACATTTTAAAATGTATTAAAATAGAAAACAGTTATTTTAAATAGTAACAAGATTTCACAATATTAATGTTTTTACTGTATTTTAAACAAAATGCAGTCTTAAGTGAAAGTAAAGGGACTTTCTTCAAAAACGATAAAACATTTTTTAAACTAAATAATAAAAAAAAAGTCATTAAGCAATAAAGCTTATTTTTCTTTAGAGCTGTATTATATATATATATATATTTTTTTTTATTTTTTTTTTTATTAATCTTTTACATTTTTTTGAAAAAATGAATTATGAAACTGCTATAACAAATGAACTGAAGCACAGTCCATGTATAAGGGGAAACTAGAGTTTACTGACAAACGGAATTTGAACTCTACTTTGTATGTAATAGGTGGTAAAACCAAGGACAAGAGGTCAAAGACTATCGCATTTAATTTGTGTGAACAAAAACTATCCCGTTTAATTTGTGTCAAACACACAAAGGCATTAAAAATTTATTTTTAGCATTATTTGTATAACATTACAAACAGGCAGACAGCATATATTACCATTAATAGGATATTTCAGTTTGGATCCATCTCTGAGGACCAATCCTTCAGAAACCTGTTAACAAATGAATAGTTTAAATTCTGACGTACTCTCTTAAGAAAATAACCTAATTTGTCTTTCAAAGAAACAAATGATACACTATCTCACCTTCCCTATGGGCAGTAGATAGAGAAAACTCTGCAGGGTGATCCAACCTACAACCAGAACCGTGGCCAAAGGGTCCCATAACTGTGCTGGGGGGGGTAAAGGAGGAGGCCACTGCAGGACACTGGCTGCTGGAGACCGACACACACTCAGCAGGTACAGAACTGTCAGAGGCAGGAACACAGGGATGCAGGTGGCACCTGGACAGGTGAGGTGGACAAATTAACTCCAATTTGGCACAGTAGCCACATATCATTACACATACACAAACCTATGCAAACATGCAACAAATATTAGCTCACCAAGAGCACCTCCAAATTCCTTTTCAGCTGAACGTGTTGCTTTGTGCTTGTTAGGCTTCATTTTGCCTGTTTGGGACAAAGATGAGCACTTAGCATGGCTGACAAAACATTTATAGTATACAAGAATAGTGTATCATTTAAATTACAGTGCGTTAAATACAGCTGTGTAGTATACGCGTTTGTAACGTCATGATTATTTTCAGACTTAAACTAATTAACCATTAAACCAAATAACCCTTTAGTAACCTATTAATGTATACATACAGGGTATTTTTCTCTTACCTGTTTCCCACAAACCTACGGTTATATTGTATGGAAACCGCTCATCATCACTGTTATTGCCTGAGAGGAGGTGACGCCTGCGCTCAGAACACGCCGTTTACCTTTGCTGCATCTGACCAATCAGCGCGTACCGCTGCTATCACAAGAGTGGGGAGAAAACCAGTGAACCAATCAGAATCAGAGACGAGCGGCCGAAACCGCCCCTAATGTTTTCCTGACCAATGACAAGAGCGTCTGTTCTGGCTTCATATTACAGTGCGTTCAATAACTACAGAGGTAAGGTTGCGTTTTTTCCTCCCAAGAAACTAAGACGCAATTTTTTTTGTACATTACGTTTATTAAATATATACTATCCAGTTATGCAGATTGAACAACCTTCACAGTCAATGAATACAGAAATCAACCATAAAAGACAATTATCAAACATGCTGATTTGTTTTTATAGACCGGTCATCTTACCTTAAATATACAGTGATTAGAGATATCGTTTACGTTCATAGTATGTTGTGTTCATTTTAGGACTTTGACACGAGACAACAATATTTCAGCTTTTAGCACCCAATGTCCACACAATCCTATTCCTAGCCTTTAATCAAATGAAGGTAAAAAAAAAACGTTTTGTGATCTCAATCCAGCTATAACAGGGTTCAATCTGAGGTCACTGGCTTTATATTAATTTTACTTCACTGAAATTAATACTCCATCAGTTATAGGAAATATAACTGCAAATATAATATTAGTAATGCCCACCAGTTGAGTTCAGTTTCAGTTATTTGCAAACTTGTTTGCCCGTTTAAGGAAAAAACACCCACGCTAACCCCTCTCACAGATGACCTCAATGACACTTTGCTCCATTGGAGACGGGTCCAGGCAACGATGGGCAGCACTACCCACAATCTCATCCAAAAGGAAGTGCACTAGGTTCTCATCGGACACAAACCGCCAAAGGTACATCTGCAAATAGTGGCAGTCCACCTGGATTTGCTGCAGTCCATATCTGCCAAACGTACGGAGACGTACACATTCAAGGAATGTCTTCAGACTTATCTTAATGATGCCAGTTAGCACAGAGACCTAGGATAAGATAGAAAACTGGTCATACAGTCTGAAAAAAACGTAAATATTAAAATCTGCATCGGTCAGTTAGTTAAATGACAGTAACAACAGTTAGCTAACAGCGTTTTGTTTTCTACCTTGTTGAACTCCACTGGGCTAAAGATATCAATCCTCTCAGAAAATAGCTTGTGAATGTTACTGAGCAAGTTTGTGTCCATTGGAGCACTGGAACAAAAACATATGAACAATTATAAACAGTATCCTCTGTGTGACTATGTATATTCCATTATACCTTTACAGAACTCAGGAATGTGATCAGCTAAAGAAAACAAAAAGGAAAACATGACTATAAAATAGTAATAATAATAATGATAATAACAAATAATAATACAAATATTATTTTGTATTATTAAATCAATAAATAATTATATTATTATTGCAACAATAAACTGTAAAAAATATGTATTAATAATAATATATTCATATAATAAGTATATTCATTATTAATTATATGTTTTCAACAGTAAAACTATATTTTATATATTATATTTAGCCTGAAAAATGCAGGGAGGCCCTAAAACTTGTCTTTTGTTATTCTCATTACAAATTTGGGGAAAATGGTTGGTGCAGGTCACATTTTCCAATGCACATCATAAGAAATTCTCATTTAAAGTCAGTAAATTTTGTGAAGTGATTGTGCACCTGGGAGTGTAGCTTGGTGCGTAGCGGATCTGCTGCCTTGAGCTGCTATACACGGAGAAGGTGCGTTTGCTGGAGTCACTGCTGTGGGCTTTCCTTACTCCTTCCTCATAAAGCAGTCCCACCTAGTTAATACATGTGGAGGTACAAAACATTACAACTGCCTTATACAAATGGTTAAGAATTAATATGTATCTTTTTTTGCATGGATTCAAATGGTCTGTTACATATCTTGAATCTTTTTTGTATATGAAATATGAACAAATGTTCGGTGCATCACCTGTACATCAATAGAGGTGGTATCTTCCACCACCCTCTTCATTACAGCCCGGACATTTCTAGGTTCAATGGTGTTCACCCAGTCTCTTGTTTCCACGCTCTTCCTCAACATCTGACTGATGATTAATCCCTGAACCTGCATCAAAAAAACAAAACAAATGTTGTCCAACAGCAATCCTATCCCAAAATACAAGACTCTGAATAGCTGAATCTTTTCTCTTAGTTACCTTCACATAGTGGTTCAGTAATTTCTGAGCAGCTTCTCTGGCCTCTGCACAAAGTGCTGTAACTGGAGTGACTGGAGTGTGGTGCTGTTTAGAGAGGAAACATCAGTATGAATAATGTATTTAGAGTTTGTTTTTAACAAATATAATGGATATGGAATACCTGTACAAGAAACTGTTCATCTGTGAGCGTGAGGATGTAGGAGATGGTGGAGGTCTCATAGTCTAGACAGAGACGAGAGAGCAACAGAAGCAGAGCAGGAGGGGTGGATCCTCCTCTGTCACCCGCACTCTCACAGTACTGACGAGATGATTGGCAAATGAACTTAATAAAGCTCACCACCAGGCCCTCACGCACACCTTGACTGCAAAACTCACCCTGAGAAAAATACGTGACAGGTATTAGAAACGACAAAACATGGGAACATATTCGGTCACTTTAGACTGAAAAATTTTCTGTTTTGAATTTAAATTTTTTCCCCCCAATTTCATTACAATGGTATAAAACTTGGTGACATTTGTGAACACCAAAAAAAACAAAACATGGACATTACTAGAAAAATGGTACCCAAAAAAAGGTAACATCACCATAGTAAATGAATAGGACAATACAGAAAATGTGAAAATACAGAGCAATTTTTGGTGGTACGATCTACAAATCAGCCACAATAAAGTAGTCTTTGATAATGTCTAAATATATATCCAAATATAAAACGTAATGGTAGTTAAGTCTGA